AGGAGAAATAGACACATTCACCATTATGGTTGGAGTCTTCAGCACCTGTTTTTCAGTAATTTAGATACAGCAGGTAGAAAGTCAGTAAGGATACAGGTGAACAGTACCATCAGTCAACTATATTTAATGATGTTTATCTGATAACTACTGAGTATACGTTCTTTTCTGGCATCCATGTATCAGTCATCAGGATGCACTATATTCTGGGTCATATGGTTCAGCACACCTGAACATGTGCTGTCAGACCACAATGGAATTAAGTTAGAAATAATAGAAAGATAGCTGGAAAATGAAAATATTTAGAGATTAAAAAACACACTTCTAAATAACACATGGATCCAAAAAAAAGTCCAAAGAAAATTTTTAAATATTTTGAACTAAAGCAAAATGAAAAGTAGCAGAAGCAGTATTAGAGGTTAGTTTAGAGCATTTGAATGTATTTTGAAACAGAAGAGAGATGCAAAATGAGTATTCTAATCTTCCAGCTTAGAGAACCAGAGAAAAAAGAGATATAAACCTTAAGCAAGTGGAAGAAAAGAAATTAAAGTTAGAGCATGAGTAAGTAAAACTGAAAACAGGAAGACAGAGAAAAATCAACAAAACTATTAATAAAAGTTGGTTCTTTGAAAAGATTGATAAACTTCTAGCCAGGCTAACAAAGACCAAAAGAGAGAAAGACATAAATTACTAATAAAAGGAATGAAAGTTGTAAATTTCTTCTTTTTGTTTAATTGTGATAAACTGCTGACCCTTGAACAAGATGGTAGTTAAGGGCACTGACCCTCATTCAGTTGAAAATCCATGTATGACTACCGTTCAACCTCTGTATTCATGGTTCTGCATCCTTGGATTTAGACAACCACAGACCTTCCAGTACTGGGTGGTACATACTTGCTGCAAAAGACCTGCGTGTAAGTGGACCCACTCCCTGGTGGCTCAGATGGTAAAGTATCTGCCTGCAGTGTAGGAGACTGGAGTTTAATCCCTGAGTCGGGAAGATTCCCTAGAGAAGGAAATGGCAACCCACTCCAGTATTCTTGCCTGGAGAATTTCATGGACAGAAGAACCTGGTGGGCCAGAGTCCTTGGGTTGCAGAGTCAGACACGACTGAGCAAGTAACGCATAGACACACACAGTACAAACCCGCATTGTTCAGGGGCCAGCTGTACATAACAGAAGTTTACCGTTTTAAGCATTTTTAAAGTGTACAGCTCAGTGGCTTTAAGTACATTCACTTTGTTATGCAACCATCATCTCTATCCACCTCTAGAGAACCCATTAAACTTCCCATTCCCCACTTCCCTGGCAGCCACCATTCTGCATTCTGCCTTTATGAATCTGACTGCTCTTTGGTACCTCTATAAGTGGAATCATAGAATATTTGTCATTTCATGACTTGCTTATTTCATTTGGTGGCTCAGACGGTAAAGCGTCTGCCCACAGTGTGGGAAACCTGGGTTCGATTCCTGGGTCAGGAGGATCCCCTGGAGAAGGAAATGGCAACCCACTCCACTACTCTTGCCTGGAAAATCCCATAGATGGAGGATCCTGGTAGGCTGCAGTCCATGGGGTTGCAAAGAGTCACGACTGAGCGATATAACTATTTCACTTGAAATAATATCTTCAGGGTTCATTCATGTAGCATATGTCAGAATTTTTTTTAAGGCTGAATAATAATTCATTGCCATTTAAAAAATCCATTCCTCCATTAATGATCAGTTGAGTTGCTTCTGCCATTTGAATATTGTGAATCACGCTGCTATGAACTTGGGTGTATAAAAATCTCATTTAGTTCCTGCTTTGAATCCTTTTGGGTACATTCTCAGAAGTGAAATTGCTGTATTATATAATAATTCCATGTTCACTTTTTTGAGGAATCATCATACTCGTTTCTGGGCATCCCAGGTGACTCTGTGGTAAAGAACCCGCCTGCCGATACAGGAGACGCAGGAGATGCGAGTTTGATCTCTGAGTTGGGAAGATACCCTGGAGGAGAACATGGCAACCCACTCTAGTATTCTTGCCTGGAGTATTCCATGGACAGAAGAGCCTGGTGGGCTACAGTCCATGGGGTCTCAAAGAGTCAGACATGACTTAGCAACTGAGCAAACAGTATTTTCACTGCCATGAAAGTCCTCTGTTCTCTGCCTGTTTGTCCCTTCCTTTGCCCAACTCCTGATCTTTTTATTGTCTCCACAGTTTTGTCTTTTCCAGAATGTTATATAGTTGGAATTAAACATTATGTAAAACTTTTCGGATCGACTAAGCCCTTTTAAAATTGAGATATAATTCACATACCATAGAATTCTCTCCTTTAAAGCATTCAGTGGCATTTAGTGTATTCACAAGTCATGTAACTGTCAGTGCAATCCAATCCCAGAGCATTTTCATCACTCTGGGAAGAACTGTACCCATTAGTAGTCATTTTCCGTACCCCCTCCTCCAATCTCTCCAGGTCACTAAACTACTTTCTCTCTCTTGGTTTGCTTCGTTTATGTAAGTGGAATCATACGCTGTGTGGCCTTTTGTGCCTGGTTACTAAATCTTTTTAGTGATGGCTTTAATCTTTTCAAAGTATGTTCATGTTTAAAAATAAATGCATAACACCTCTGTGAGGTAGACAGGAACTTTGTGACAAACTTTGTGACATAATTGCACTGTCAGATTTATTGTGTCTTCATGACACAGTTTAACATAAGATGAGGGAAAGAGGTTTGGAGGTGGCAGGGTAGAGATTTGGAAAAGTAGAGTTAAAGAAAAAATAGGACATGATGATGTATGAGAAATAACTCAGTCCTGTGGGATTTCTACAACCATGAGTATTAAACTTTATTAAAGTGGAACTGCAATTAATACTCCAATTAGATTTAAGAATTTAAAATGCTAACGATGGGTTGTTGAGCCTTCAGTAGTTATAGACTGAATTTCATTTCATCAAGGTTGAAAGGATATCAGGATTGCGTTCTTGGTTATTCCAAACTCTTTAAATGGAAGCCTGTTGCTACAGAATGTAGAAGGGGTATGATAAATTTATTTTTAAAAATAAATTAAAGCAAATAATACATGTTTTTTGCCTTTGCTACAGTTAGCTGGAGTAGAGAACTTTTATATAAGGGAAGTGTAAATCTTTCTTTCTTTAAAAATTATTTCCATATGTATTTTAAAATTGAAGTATAGTTGACTTACAGTATTTCAGGTGTATATAAAAGTGATCCAGTTATATATATATTCTTTTTTAGATTCTTTTCCATAATAGGTTATTATAAGATATTGAATATAGTTCACTGTGCTGCTATACAGTAGGTCCTTGTTGTAAGTATTAATTCTTAAAAGTTGTTAATTATATTTGAAATTAATAGTAAAGGATAACATTTTTCTGTAAATTTTACATGTTAGGTTTTCTGTTTTACAATATAGTGTGCTTTGAGAATGCAAATTAGTGCTATCTTCACAATTGAATTTGTATTTGTAACTATGTAGAAAAGATCAATAGGATAACAAACCACAAGAGGCTGTCTTGTTGACTGCCATGGCTCTTACCATTTCCTGGTACAGAGGAAGTTCTGGCTAAATTATTTGGTTCCTATATGATCTTTTACCCTAATAAACTGTGTTGCAAGTCTGTTCATTGGTGAGGACTGTTTGTTTGCCTGGAAGCCTAAAGATCTGCTCCATACTTCTTTTCCTTGATTCCCGTACTTCATCATGCTTGTCTTTCTTTGGGGGTTTTTGCCTCAACAATAAGAAACTCATCCCATTCCAAGGGAAGTAAGTTCTAAAATAGAAAAGTTATTGGAAATGAAAATTAGAGGTAGGTCATGTATCTGTTGATGAGGTGAGAAGGCAAGACTGGGGCAACCTATGAGGAGAGAGTAGTATCTGCTAAGATAGTGTGGGTGGCCTTTTTATTTGTATATATATATATGTTGATGTTTTAATTTGTATGTGTATAAATTGCTATATGAAACCAAGGTTAGCTGAGAACGTCTACATAGAAAATAGTTTGTAGTGTTTTGATCATTCACCTTTTGTGTAAAATTTCAGATTTGTATGCACATCTGCTTAAGACACTGGCATGATTTATGAAGCATATATCAGTTATATAGTTATATACAGTTATATAGTTCGTTGGATCTTGCAGATGGAAAGGATTTAGGATTTGAAAGGATTTTCTGGTCCTGGTTGCCCACCTAAAGCAGAAATTCATCTTCAGTCAACTGTTGACTTTTGACTCTTATAATTGATTCTTAGTTGTAGCCCTTGGCAGAGAATGTCTATTCTTTCTAAGCATCCTATTCTATTTCTGACTAGTTCTGTTTGAAAATTGTACCCTGAAACTCTCTTACTGTATTAACTCAAAACATTTGTCATAATTTTGTTCCTCTAGAACGAAATCCTCTTCTAAGAAAACACTCATAGTAGTTTGAAGGTTTATTATGAATCTCATTTAATCTTATTTATGCTAAGCCTAGTTTTTGTTGAATTGTTAGTCATGCTATAGGATTTCTCTATCCTGATCACCTAATGGACATGTTTTGGTTCCTTGGCTTTCAACTGTTTTTGACTACAACCCAAATGAAGAATGTATTTCATATTCCAACTCAACCTATCCATATATACATACATGAAGTATGTAGTTTTAATACATATATGTAACTGAGGCAGAAATTTTGTGACAACATATCTTTACACTGACACTTTTTGCTCCTTTTCATTTTTACAAAATGCTGGTGTTACTTATAAAATTTATCACTCCCTGATGGATTTCAGTCTGTAGTTTGGAAATCACTGTTTCAATTTGTGCATGCTACAGAACTGAAATATGGAGTTTCCAAAAGCTGTATGTTAGAACAGTCATTGCTAAAGCAGGTGTTACCTTCATTAACTCAAAGAAAATATTCTGATTGCTGGTTTTCAAATAAAACTAATGAGGATTATCAAATTCTTGGTAATGCATAAAGTAAAACTGAAATATATGTAACTTTTATTTTTATACTTAGGTGGCGACAGACAAGGTTGCAGAAAAGTTGAGTTCTACTCTCTCATGGGTGAAGAACACAGTGTCACATACAGTCAGCCAGATGGCCAGTCAGGTGGCAAGTCCATCTGCTTCCTTACACACTACATCCTCGTCTACCACACTGTCAACGCCAGCCCTTTCACCATCTTCACCATCACAGTTGAGTCCAGACGACTTAGAACTCCTGGCTAAACTGGAGGAACAAAATAGGTAAGTGAGGTTGCTTGGGTTGTCTTTCTTTAATTGTCGTACGTACTTGACCATTCATATATGTATGCATGCCATAATCAAAATTTTAAATATTTTTCCGTATTAAGAATGTTTAGGGGAGTTCCCTGATAGCGTAGGGTTAGGATTCTGGGGTTTTACTGCCATGGCCTTGGTTCATTCCCTGATCAGGAAACTTAAATCCTGCAAGCCATGTCGAGGGGCCAAAAAGTTTAGTTTTTTAAAAATCAGAGTTAATAGAAATTTTCAAGAATTTTTTTGGAGGAGTTGGTCTTAAAACTAAAATTGGACTAAAATTTTCTTCAGACTTGGATAGCTGTAGACTTGTGTACTTAATGTAGCAAATTGTCTAAATTCTTCCTGAATGGTTCTTTAGGGCATCAGCTACAAAAAGAGTTACTGAGAGAGAATCCTTTTATGTTCAGTCAAAATAAGGATAATTGCAGAGATAATTTCTAACAACTCTTATGATATGTAATTGACATAATAAAGTACACATACTTAAGGTATACAATTTGATAAGTTTAGACATAAGTATATACCTGTGAAATTATCACCAAAATCAGGAAAATGAACATATCTGTTATCTGCCTTTGTATCTCCAGATAGCCACTGCTCTTCTTTTGGTCATTATAAATTGGTTTGCATTTTCTATAGTTTTATAGAAATCAAATCATACAGTATATACTCTTTTTTTTTTTTCATTTATTTTTATTAGTTGGAGGCTAATTATTTTACATCATTGCAGTGGTTTTTGTCATACATTGAGATGAATTAGCCATGGATTTACATGTATTCCCCATCCCGGTCCCCCCTCCCTATACTCTTTTTTAATGGGTTATTTCATTATTCTCAAAATGAATTGTTTTGAGATTCATGTGTGTTGTAATACATATGAATAGTTCATTTCTTTTTATTGCTTAGTAGTATTCCACTCCAGTACTCTTGCCTGGAAAATCCCATGGATGGAGGAGCCTGGTAGGCTGCAGTCCATGGGGTTGCTAAGAGTCCGACACGACTGAGCGACTTCACTTTCACTTTTCACTTTCATGCATTGGAGAAGGAAATGGCAACCCACTCCAGTGTTCTTGCTTGGTGGATCTCAGGGACGGGGGAGCCTGGTGGGCTGCCATCTATGGGGTCGCACAGAGTCAGACATAATTGAAGCGCCTTAGCAGCAGCAGCAGCAGGAGTAGCAGTATTCCATTCTATGGATGTATCACAGCTTACCTACTCACCTGTTGTGAAATGGTATAAACTTTTGTGTACAAGCCTTTGTATCAGTTTATGCTTTCATTTCTCCTGGGTAAATACCTAGGAATGGAATGGCTGGTTTATATGGCAGAAGTATATTTAATTGTCAAACTGTTTTCCAAAGGACCTATAGTTTTTCACATTCTCATCATCAGTGTATGAACATTGCTGCTCTTTTGCAGCCTTATCAACATTTGGTATAGTCAGTCTTTTTAATTTTAGCTGTTCTTATGGGTATTTGTATCTTGTGGTTTTAATTGCATTTCCCTATTGGTGTTGAGCACATTTTTTATGTGCTAATTTGCCATTGATAAATCATCTTTGATTAAATGTCTGTTCCAAATTTTGCCCATTAAAAAAATTAGATTGTTTGCTTTCTTACTGTGTTTTAAGAGTTTTTTACATAGTTTGGGTACAAGTCCTTTTTCCATAGATATGCTTTTCAAATGTTTTTGTATTTGTTGAAAAGACTGTCCTTTTTCCTCTTTAATTACTTTTGCACTTCTGTCAAAAATCAATTGTCTGTGTATGTATGTTTCTTGGCTCTTTTTCTGTCCCATTAATTAATTTTTCTACTTTAATGCTAGTATGACACTATTGAATATTATAGCTTTATAAGAAGTCTTGAAATCAGATAGTGTTAATTGTCTTTGTTCTTTGTTTTTGCTCCTTATCATGCCTTTATGAATTTTATGTCAAGTAATTTGTACAAAAACACTTGCTGAGATTTTGATTAGAATAGTGTTGAATTCCTGCCAATAGTGGCTTCCACCCATGAACACATTATATTTTTCTTTTACTTATTACTTGTGCATGGTATTGTTTTTGTAAATTTAATTTCTGATTGTTCATTGTCAGCATGTAGAAATACAGTCATTTTTCTTTTATCATTCGTGTATTCTGTTGCCTTGGTAAATTCACTTGTTCTGGTAGATTTTTTTTTATTTTTTTTTTTAGATTCCATTAGATTTTCTATATAGATGAGCATGTGGTCCATGAATAAAAGCACATTTGCATCTTTACAATATGGATGCCCTTTATAGCTTTTTCTTGCCTTATTGTAACTGGCTAGTACTTCCAGTACAAATTTGAATATATATAATGAACAGATAGCCTTGACATTAACAGGAAAGTTTAAAATTAAAATTATTTTAATTAAAAATTAAAAGACGCTTGCTCCTTGGCAGAAAAGCTATGACCAATCTAGACAGCATATTAAAAAGCAGAGACATTACTTTGCCGACAGAGATCTGTCTAGTCAGAGGTATGGTTTTTCCATGAGTCATGTATGGACGTGAGAGTTGGACTATAAAGAAAGCTGAGCACCAAAGAATTGATGTTTTTGAACTGTGGTGTTGGAAAAGACTCTTGAGAGTCCATTGGACAGCAAGGAGATCCAACCTGTCTATCCTAAAGGAAATCAGTCTTGAATATTCATTGGAAGGGCTGATGCTGAAGCTGAAGCTCCAGTACTTTGGCCACCTGATGCAAAGAACTGACTCATTTGAAAAGACCCTGATGCTGGGCAAGATTGAGGGCAGGAGGAGAAGGGGATGACAGAGGATGAGATGTTTGGATGGCATCACCGGCTCGATGGACATGAACTTGAGCAAGCTCCAGGAGTTGGTGATGGACAGGGAAGCCTGGTGTGCTGCAGTCCATGGGGTTGCAAAGAATTGGACATGACTGAGTGACTGAACTGAACTGAACTGAAGGGGGAAGCATTAAGAATGAGTAAATTGTAGATTTCTATAGATGACTTTTTATCAGATTGAAGAAGTTCCTGTTTCTCATTTGTTAAGAGTTTATAAGAAATAGATGTTGCATTATGTCAAATAGTTTCCCTGAATCTATCAAAATGATTAATTGTTTCCTTGTTTTAATTTGACAGATTACTTTTTTTTTAAAGTTAAACCCCACTTAGTCATTATCCATTGTCATGATAGGATATTGTTGGATTTGATGAACTAAAATTTTTTTTGGAATTTTTGTATCTGTGTTCAGGAGGAAGCTCAGTCTGTAGTTGTTATCTAATGTCTTTGGGTTTTCTTTGTAATGTCTTATGTCCTTGTAATATTTTTGTGATCTTTCCTCTTTTCTCATTTAAGTGTTTAATGCTATACGTTTCTCCTGAAGCTCTGCTTTTGCAGGATCCCTTTAAGTTTTATAGTTCTGAATATAGTATGTTTTGATACATGTTTTATGTGCACTTGGAAAGACTGTATATTCAGCTGTTATTTGGTAGCATATTCTATAAACGTTACTTGGTTCAAATTGATTGATGGTGTTGTTCAAGTCCACTGTATCTTTTCTGGTTTTCTGTTTACTTGTATCAGATATTGAGAGAAGGGTATTGAAACCTCCAACTATAATTATGATTTATTTCTCTTTAAATTTTATCAGTCTTTGTTTCATATAATATGAAGTTATATTGTATATATAAACATTTAGAATTGGTCCATCCTGTTGTCAAAATGCCTTCATTATTCCTAGTAATAACTTTGTTTGCTTTAGAAATCTACTTTATCTCATATAGTCATTGTAACTTTTGAATAGTGTTAGAAGTTTATATACTTTTCTGTTTTTTACTTTTATTCTGTTTTTATCTTTACAGTTTGGCAGTTAGACAATATCTAGTGGCTCTTGCTTTTCAAAATAGTCTGACAGTCTTTACCTTTTAATTATGGTAGTTAGATCACTTTTACTGTGACATAATTTTATTTCTTGCTTACATTTATGTTCATCTCAAACTTTAGGCTGAGTACATTTTTATTGCACACTTCTTAATTTTTGGACCAGTGACCAGCCTCTCTGCAGGATAAACCAGACTCATGCCAAATGGGAAATGGATATAGAGGAAATATATCTTAAAACATCTACTAGGGAGTTATATACATAACTTCAACTTACATTTTATTGGCCAAAGAAAATCATATACTCACTTCTTATGGAGTGAAATTGAGATTAGAATCATCTTGCAGGGCTGGGTCTAAGAAAGTTTATGCTTATTATTGTATCAGAACCCTTTGCCAATATTTTTATTGTATTGCTCTTGTGCTTTTAATTATTCACTTACCATAAAAATCCACCCTTCTAAAATGTACAATTTGGTAGTTTTTAGTATACTCACAGAGTTGTGTAAACATTGCCATTACCCAGTTTCAGAATGTTTTTATGATTCCCAAAAGAAACCTTGTATCCATTAGTCTCCCCTTTTCACCCTCCTTCCTGGCAACCACTAATCTACTGTCTCCATGGATTTGCTTATTCTGGCCATTTCATTGGTAGTCTTTTGGGACTAGCTTCTTTTACTGAACACAGTGTTTTCCAGATTTTGAGTAAAATAGATCATTTACATTTAATGTAATTATTGATATGGTTATGTTTATGTTTGTCATCTTATTTTTACTGTTCTTTATCTTAGTATTTTTGCCTTTTGACTGAATGAAATATTGTTTATGATTCTGTTTTATCTTTTGTTAATTTATTATTTATAACTGTTATTTTGCTGGTTGCTTTAGGATTCATAGTGTATATCCTTAACTAACTTACATACTATACCTTCAAGAGATCTCATACCACTTCACATGTAGTATAAAAACTGAAAAAAAAAACAACAACTGAGAATAGTACATTTCCGTTTCTCTTCTCTGGTCCTTTGTGCTAGTTTTGTCATGCATTTTGCTTTTTTATATTTTTTTTTGTTAAAAATTATTTATTTTTAAATT